AGGAGGCATTTAACTCCTAATTCAAATTTGAATTTTGGATTTGAAACTCCCTCCAAGTGACCTCTCCAAATTAGGAAACTAATCAAATGCAATGAGGGAAAATGGAGGGGATGGAGGAGGGTTTATTTCGGGTGGGTGGTGGCAAAGAGGAAGGCCGGCGGCGGGAGGCCGGCGGCGGGAGGCCCGGCGGCGGGAGGCCGGCGGCTGGAGGTCCGGCGGCTGGAGATCGGCGGCTGGAGATCAGAGGTGAGTGGAGGTGGCCGGTGGCCTTGGGGCCAAGTGTGCCGACGGGTGGGTGGGGGAAACGGTAGAGGAGAAGAAAAGATATGGGTTAGAAAACCAAGAGCTCCACCAAGGGGCTGTTGGGTATTGCTTGGAGCCTCTCCTAGGCTTTCCTCACTTGAGAACTCACAAAGAGAACTCTAGAACTCACAAAGAGATCCAAAACCAAAATTTTCATATCAATATTCATCATCCCTTTCCAAGAGGAAGGGGAAGGCTTAAATAGCCAAATACATGAAGGAAAATAAAAAGACACAATTGCCCCTAGGGCAAACATAAAACAAAGCCCTCAAGTGAGGATAGAAATGGAAAAGTACAAATAACAAATAAAAAACATCAAAATAAATAGACACGATCGTAGCCGTTGATCTTCGATGTCCTCATCAACTTTCTAAATTCGGAAAGAATTTGAATTTTGCAATTCAAATTTTATGGGAACTAGGTCAAGGAGGTGTGGGGAAAATGCGGTGGAGAGGAAAGGAACCGACGGCAAGGTGGCCGGCCGGTGGTGTGGGGGTGGCCGACGGTGGGAGTCCAAGGAGGCGGCGGCAACTAGGTTTTGAGGTGACGTTTCTCGGGGGTGGAGGAAAGGTTGGAGGAAAACACGCACGAGGTGATAAAGAAACTAACCACGAGCCGCGGACTTTTCCAACAACTGGTGGGCCTTGCGATTTGCTCCCCTTGAGCTCTCTCTCTCTCTCTCTCTTCAAGCTCTCATGCAAGAAGGAAAAGAAACAAAAACATGATTTTCATTCAAATATTCATTACCCTATTACAAAGCATGAGACCACTATATATAGGTCTTTTAACATAAAGAAATGAAAAGTACTCAAATGCCCTTCGGGCTATAATAAGACAACACTCCCCATAGGGGTAAACTAGGAAATTGAAATGCAAACTAAATAAAATATGAAATACATCAAAAGTAAAGGCTCTGAATCGTAGCCGTCGATCTGCGCTGTCTTCGGCGATACACATGCTTGAACCTCTGATCGATGTCCACATCAATGATTGCTTGAATTTTAAAAAGCTTTATAATTCTCATACCATTATTTATATTTGCTTTAAAATATTGACTAAATCAGTTTTGGTTAAATATCAAATGCTGACCATTAAATGTCATAAATTAAGTGCATCATGTTATTGAGCTAATAAGTCGTGCAAAATATCTAGAAAAGATGATTTTCATAATCTAATTTAAAAGAATTATTATTTTATGTTTTAATAAATAACAACCAGAGCTACTTAACTTTTTTATCAATATCAATAGCAACATAAATAAAATTATTGATTAAAACATCACTATATACATCTATATTCAATTCCCAAAAATTATATACACTATCCAGGATTTATACAATCATCCACAACTACTCTGTCTTGAGTACAAAAAAATAATTAAAATAAAAAGGAATATAACCTGAAGAATCCTTATCAATCTCCACTCTTGATCCTCTATCATGACCTGAAAATATTTAATCACATATAATGTGCTTAAAAAATCCATAAGTCACTTAAACCTATAACTGAACTTAAAGTACGACAAATGAGTAATATGCATGTCAACAGTCAAATCATAACAATTACATTCATATGATTATTTAATCAGTGATAAAATAATAAAAGTGTACGGTACATAAGACAGTAAATCAGTATGAGTGTCAAATCATTGAAGCAATCGTCATATCAATACTACAATCAGTAGAGAAATCGTATAAAGTGATAAAATCACATCATTGATAAAGATTGTCAAAATCAGATCAATGTTGTAAACTCATATTAGAGTGTACACATATTATCCAGTTATTTTATATCAACATTAAATCAATATCTTAATCGTATATTCAATACATCTTGTATATCACTGATCAATTTATATATATCAGGCTTTTTTGTATCAATAAATTAGTAGAAGTTTTAATAATTAATCCATTCAATAATATAAAAAATGCCTCAATAACATTCATTTCAGTAGTCACTCTAAATAAATTAGAGTTTTGGATATCACAGTATTTTTTAGTATCATATCAGTGTTAGTAAATAGAGTTGACATCTTTTGTCCTTCGGCACAATAATATTCTTCTTATAACTCCCAATTAGTATCACATGAATTAGTTGAGGATAACACCAAACCACAATATTTAAATGAAAGTTTGTCGACTCTCCATCCTGTACATGTCAATTAGTCTCCAACCAGCTGATCAACCACTTTCCAATTTCTACTTGTCTTTTACACACATTATTATTAAAATACTATAATAGTAATTCCAATCACATATTCACATTAATTTCTAAAATTTTGCAGCAAATAAAATATAATTAAGCTTAATTCCGAAAGTGTTAAAATTTTATAATGATAGGCAACAAAAATAATACTGAGAAAAAATTCACATTTTCAGAATTTAATCAAATTACTAGATATCACATAAAATAATATTTTAAAGCTTTAATTGCACTAAATCACTATTTCTAAATGTTAAAATAAATTTCTGAATATGCAAAAATTATTGTATTTTCAAAATCACTGGGCAAAAAATCTCAAATAATTATTCAAAACGTTCATAATCTCAATCTCTTTAACATATAAAAAGTTACACGGTGAAAATTTTACCAATACCAAATTATCCTTGTTTTTCGTAAACGGAAATATAAATTTGATCGGGATTATATCAAAAGCACAAAATCTTTGAAATTATAAATAGGATAATAGTTCCTTACAACCATACGAGCAAATCTTTCAACTGGTCTGAATGACTAAAATCGCTCCGTGACCTCAAAATCTAAAAATGTTCTCTCTCAAATTTCCCTAATTGATTTCTCTGTTAGCCGAAATGAAGAAACTAATGGCTTTAAGGGATTTTAGTTTAATGGAAATAGATTTTTATGATAAAATATTAATATAATATTAATATAATTTAAATAATTTTTAGTATAAAATTCATATAAATTTATTTGAGACTTTAAAAATTATAGAAAAATATTCATAAAATAAATCATTTTATTTAAAAAATATTGATGAAATTGGTTTGCAAAACAAACACCTGGCGGTCTCAAAATTCATGCTTGTACTAATGTGTCAAATTCTTAAAACTTTTTATCAGTGCTAAAAATTTAAAAAAAAATCGTGTTATTAAAATATTATAATATTAATGATATGGTGAAAATGGTTTGTGATTTGGGCTCATATTTGACAGAGTCAAAATACGGGCTATTACAACCTACGTCTGCTTGGTTATTTGATGTTAGGATTTTGATTCTTAGTCATATGGTTTTTGAAAGGGTCTGTTGTTCCACAAATCAATTGTTTCATGTATGAAATCGTTTATGTTGAAGCTTTGTCTCTTGATTCTTGCGATGAACCTTGATAAAAGAACTTGACCATAGCCTTATGATGCCTTTGCTCTTTCATTTTTTTAGTCGGTTTTCTAATTTATCATTTGCGTTCATCTCTTCTTACTTTATCTAGCTATATATTCACAACTTCAAATCTATAGGCCAATTAGAGGTGTTAAAAAATGAACCAATCCACCAACCCAACCCAAACCTCACCCGAAAAATTTGGGTTTGGGTTTGGGTTTTTCCAACCCGTTGATTAAACGGGCTAATTTCGGGTTAACCCATGAATTCTTTTTGACCCAAAAAATGACATGGTTCATATTTTTTTCTTTGATGTTTTTACTTATAGGTATAATCTTGTTATTTTTTTATCAAAGATGATAAATTTTATAATTAATACAACATCATCAACATCAAGTGTTCATCTCTTCTTACTTTATCTAGCTATCTATTCAAAACTTCAAATCTATAGGCCAATTAGAGGTGTTAAAAAATGAACCAATCCACCAACCCAACCCAAACCTCACCCGAAAAATTTGGGTTTGGGTTGGGTTTTTCCAACCCATTTATTAAACGGGCCAATTTCGGGTTAACCCATGAATTCGTTTTGACCCAAAAAATGACATGTTTCATATTGTTTTCTTTGATGTTTTTACTTATAGATATAATCTTGTTATTTTTTATCAAAGACGATAAATCTTATAATTAATACAACATCATCAACATCAAGCCTTTATCCCACTACGTGGGGTCGGCTACATGAATCCTTTTTCTCCATTGTGTTCTATTAAAAGTCAAATTCTCGTTTAAATCTAATAGAAAAAAATCATTTCTAATATTTTCTAACCAAGTCTTTTTAGGCATGCCTCTACCTTTCTTAACATAAGCTTGGTCTAGTTAATTTCAGGTCTGTTCCGAACCCAAGTTGTTAACTTGTTTTGACACCCATAAGGCCAATGAATCCTTTTGGTGCAACTCACAAATAACACCTTGAGGATCTGATATGATGCTGAAGCGAGTAATCTAATTGAAAAAATTATAAATCTCTAGTATACTAGCTAGATTTTGGCATGCCTTATTTTGTGACCGGCTGAGTCGGAGTGGAATTTGCTTCTTGATCTACTAACCCTTTGCTCTGTGAACCTACCTTTATAAAGTTCGATCCAGTTGATAGCACTGCCAGATATAAGATTTTGTCCCTGTATTCTCATCTTTTTTTTTTTTTCATTGCTTCAATTGTTAAATAACTTAAAAATAAATGTCGTTTGATTTAAATAGTGCATATTGTCATAACTTATTTTTTGTTCTTTTGTTTTCAATGTCTATTTGCTTTTTGTCCTGTAAAAAATTTAGTTTTGCATATCTTTATTTTCTCCATGCAGGTGAGATTATGTAGGGAGAAGAGTACTGGTAATGTATATGCAATGAAGAAATTGAAAAAATCTGAGATGCTTAGAAGGGGACAGGTATCCTGATGCCTTTCTTTTGCTTAGTTGCTTCCCATGAAATCAGCTGAACTTTATGCATCTGTTTTATATAGGTGGAGCATGTTAAAGCCGAAAGAAATCTTCTTGCGGAGGTTGATAGCGCCTGTATTGTAAAACTCTACTGTTCTTTCCAAGATGAAGAATATTTGTATCTTATAATGGAATATCTTCCTGGAGGTGACATGATGACTTTACTAATGCGCAAGGACACATTAACAGAAGATGAGGCGATGTTCTATGTTGCAGAGACCGTATTGGCCATTGAATCTATACATAAACATAATTATATCCATAGGTATCAATGTGGCAGAAATTGTTTATCTCTTCGCACCACCTCCCTCAAGTGGAATAACATGTGAAATATTTTTGTTTATTTCCAACAGGGATATTAAACCAGATAACTTATTGTTGGATCGAAATGGCCATATGAAGCTCTCTGATTTTGGTTTGTGCAAACCTTTGGATAGTAGTAGCTTTCCAAACCTTACCGAGCCTGATCATGGAGTGGGTGTCAAGGCTCCGTTAGATGGTCATAAGAATTTGAGCACTTCTGTTGCACCCAAGCGTACACAACAGGAACAGTTATTACATTGGCAAAAGAATAGAAGGACGCTGGTAATGTCTGTTGCACCATGCATATCATGATATTGAAATTTATTTTCCATGCCATTGTTACCTTTTTATAATTTACTTTATGTTGTGATTGTATGCTTTTGTTTCCTTCGAAGTTTATTGAGGGATATTATACTCTCATCTATGCTAGTTTAGCTACGTTTGGTGTCAACAATCAGTCAAAGCAAAAAGTTGCAAGCCAAATAAATTTATTTTTCCTTAATTTTGCAAAGTCTTCTACATTTCTCTAAAATGCAGTATATATGGTCTCATTAAGAAAATTGCTACTATAATTTTGGCATTTTTTTTTTCTCAAGTCTTATGTACCCCTCTGATACTACATAAAAACTGAAAATTGTCATACAGCTTGTCTTTGATCTGTTTCATTTCATAATACTGCCTTGTTGCAAGTCTCAAGCTTTCGGAATAGAAATGGACTAAACTGTAAAGTATATACATGGATTATTGATGTCCTCTGTTATCCTTTTTTGTGTAAAGATCAAATCAGATTATCTTATTACTGATTAGGATTTTCATTTACATTTGTTTATATGGAAAGCAGGCCTATTCAACTGTTGGAACACCTGATTACATTGCACCTGAAGTTCTACTGAAGAAAGGATATGGCATGGAGTGTGATTGGTCGGTTGTTCATTTTCTCTTTAAGCTATAGATTTCTTATCATTTTACTTTCTTTTCCTTTCCTTTTCTTTGTCTGATTGTGCAATTTAATTAATCAGGTGGTCTCTTGGGGCAATCATGTATGAAATGCTTGTCGGTTACCCACCATTTTACTCTGAAGATCCAATGTCTACCTGCAGAAAGGTATTCATGCAATTTAAGTAGGCTTATAATCATAAAGATTAATTCAATCGGTTGAGTTTCTTAAAACTTCAGTTTTTTTCAAACTTATTTATGGTAAAAGCAACTATGATGACCTTTTTGGCTTGTTACCTACACAATGAGTCTTTTAGGATGTTGAGTTCTATTTCTTATTTACTGGCTTATGTTATAAGACATGTCCTCCTATTCATGAAATTATGATCAAGAAATAGTTTTTAGGGAATATTTCTGTGGTTCCAAATAAGGAAATAAGATGATAAAATAGCCCAACTTGTTGTTTAATTTTTTTCACGGCTATCCTATCCTTAAGTTGATTTACCACCTTCTGGTTTGGCATTCCCCCTGGTTTAATACTAGGAATGACTGAAGAGTAGTCTTTTGTTTCAGTGAAGCTTATCCAGAGAGATTAGGACTAGAAATGATAATTGTTAGATTGAATAAGCAGAGGGCTGCAAATAGTTTGGGTTTTGACGTGATGGGACATGAGTACCAACCTAATTATAATTGTTATCAGATTAGGCTCATCCCTAATTAAGTAACAGCCCAACCTAACAATGCAATCTCATATTATTTTTTGATCGAAACCAGGTAGGTTGGGTTTGATTTGATCTAATTTAAACCTAAGGATCTGTTTGGTTACAACTAGGATTTAATAAATATTATAAATCCACATTTAATAAATTTTATTTTGTTAAACTTTCAAAATTGTTTTGTATTATAGGTGCTAAATCAAGTTAAATTCAATCAAATTATTTAGCTAATTATTTTAAGATTGAAGGTTTACATGATTTTGAAATTTTAATATATTTATTTGGCTTATATCAATCTTAATTAAACTAATTAAATCACAAATTCATAAATAGTCTAATTAAACATATTATTTAATTATTTAGTAATTTACTAAGCTAACTAGAATTATTTTGACAGATTAAACACAAAATTAAGCTAATATCAAGCTTATTGGATCTGAATTAGACCCTTATATGGATCAAGGGTGACCATGTGTTGTTTCTGACCGTACTTGAATGCTCATATGATTGGACAAATCTACTGAAGCCAATCCAAATTTTGTCTATTTGCTAAACTATAGAGGGAGAATCTTCAACTTCAACTTGTTTTTAGTCTACTGCTTTCCTTCCAAATAATTCCACAGTAATTTTTTGTGTGTGGTAATAGTGCATTTTTTCCTTTACATGTTAAAACTACTTTAGACTGGCAAAATATTTTCTAATTCTATACTTTCTAATTTTATTACATATCCATCTTGACATTTCATTTCTAATATGCCAATTTGATTATCAATAACATATCAACAATGGAGCCCTTTTATCATCATTGATGTAATTTCTATTTTCTAAATTATGTCTTTAACGCTTCATTTGGGATGGCCTTTTGAATGCTTTAGCTTATAAAAAGACATTGTTTGTTTGGATGAAAAAATTATACAAAATTGTACACAAAACTTGCCGAAAGTTTTCTTTTTGGAAAAGAATAGAAATTGAAAATATGTGTTAGGATATCTTAATATAAATTGTATTAGGATGGACTTGAAAACTATTTAATATCCTTGACATTGTGTTGTATATGAAGAGTTTGCGTTACAATAATCTCAAGAAAAATCCTATGATTTTTAAGCCCATGTTGATATAATTTGTTTCAGGATATTCTGACATAATTCTTTCTCATAAAAATTGTGGTTAAGAAAATATATTTTAAAAAGTTTTGTCAGTAAAAGCAAAAAAAGCATAAGTCACCCCAAATGAAGTCTCTCCATTGATATTTTCTTTTCGCAAAGTATGCCCTCATTACTTTTCCTATCCACATTCATCTTTAACTTTGTAAGCTTTCACATATGATGCATGAACGCTTCATTAGAAAGTAGTATATAGTATCTAACACATTCAGAACACGATACACATGTGATGCAAGCTAAGTGGATTAAAAAAAAAACAAAGGAGAACACAAAAGAAGTTAGAATTTGACTCAATTCAACACTTAGTAAGCCAACACCAAACAAACTTGAAAATAAATAGAAGTTAAACACTAAGAAAATTAAAAATAAAAACTACCCTCAGAACAACCAGCTAGTGGTCACCTCACATGTATCGAAATTGTAGGTAAAATAATTAGAGTTCAAAGACATGAAAATCATAGGTCCACCATAGCAACTTTGGGCCAACGTCCACTACAAACTCCTCCGGCAAATGCTAACAAACCGGCCAACCAATACCTTCAAATGCTTTAGAAGAAAGCTAACAAATGGAGTGGAAACTTGCGGAGAGAAGAATAGATAAGAAGCCCAAGACGAAGTTATAGAGAGGAGAAGAGAAAGGGGGACATAACTTGCAAGCTATCAAAGAAGAAACCCTCAGATTTTAGTGTTTATCACTCACCAAAATTCTCCTCCAAATGCCACAAAACAGCCCCAATATATAGGTGAAGAAAGGGAACCAAATAGCTAAACAGCCGCCCACTTAAACCAATAAGATAAAGGGAGATAAAAGACCAAAAGTCAACCGCCTGAAGCAGCACACAAAGGAGCACGCGGGAAACAGGAACAACCAACGAACGGAAAAGGCGCCAGGGGGGTATTGGGACAGGCAGAAGAATCAAAGAGGCAATAAGGGGAAATGAACCTGGGAGATGCACAAAAGCAGAAAAAAGAGTCAAATAAAGGCAACTGAATCCTAGCAATCAAGACATCAGTTGGCAAAACAGCCAGCACATACCCGAATCAACAAAACCACACCCATGGAACTTGGGCCAAACCCAAGTCAGCCCAAATATGACATGGCACCAAAGAAACTAGCACACCAAAGGAATAGCATGTCCAAGAGCACAACCTACACATGATCATTGTTTGCCTTCCATCATAGGGTAGAAAAAACATAAAATTCAAATTACAATAAAATTGAAATGAAGTTGGCATGCATTAGCATGCAACACACCTTTGACACTTGTCAAACATATGTCCGCGTGTCCAATTAAAAAAAATAATAATAAAAATTCATACATGCATGTCGGACACATGTGTCCTTGAACAACACGCTTGTCTAACACACCATAATGCGAACAACCTCTTTGGCTCTTCCTCGCATTATGCCCATAACCTCTCAGCCAAAACTACCTCATCTCCTCACACAAATATGATAAGTAATCTTAGCTCAAACTTGGCTCATAAAATATTTGAAGTTGAAACATACACTTGAAATTTTAGTCAAAAGGACCTTATTGACTTGTTTGAATGTCTGAGGATTTTTTAGCAATTTTCATGTATATGGAATTTATTATTGGCCTAAGTTATGACGGATTTGGGTGTTCACAGTTGAGTTCTAGCATTATTCTTAGCCCTTACCCAGCAATAACATTTTCATGCTAAGTATGACATGCAACTCTATTTCTCGAAGTTGTTGACGGGTGTTCCTAACGTGTGCATAAGCCAAAATGCGCTTCCGTTTAGAAGAAAAATAAGTAGATTAAAAAAAAAATTAACAAGTACTTTGTGACGTGAAAATTTCATATTGATTTTTTTGTAACACGAGCTTCATTTCTTGAGTTTATTTTTGTTTTCTTATCTCATCTTTACAATTGTGGAAATGCTTTGGAGATGAAGCAATTTCTTGACTTATGAAAATTTTCAATATTTTTTTGAAGACTAAAAAATTGTCAGATGATTGGAGGAGTATGTTGATTCCTATTTTTAAGAATAAAGGTAATGCACAAAAGTTCGTGAATTATAGATGAATTAAGTTAATGTGTCATACATTAAAACTATAGGAGAAAGTTATTGAGCATAGGCTACGACGTGATACTAATGTTTCTCAAAATCAATTTGGATTCATTGTGGGTAGGCCTACTATTGGAAGCTATACATTTATTGAGAGGTTTGATGGAGAAGTATAGAGAGAATAAGGAGGATCTACATGTGATATTTATTGATTTAGAGAAAACATATGATAAAGTTCCAAGAAAAGTTTTATGGAGAGTTCTAGAAAATAAAGAAATTAATAATGCTTATATTCAATCTAGTTAGGATATTATGCAAGAGTTGTTATTTGTGTTCAAACGCAACAAGACGGTTTGACAAAGTATTTTCCTATTTCATTTGGATTACATCAAGGATCAGCTTTAAGCTCATATCTTTTTTCTTTTATTCATGGATGTTCTCACCAAACATTTGCAAGATGATATATCCTGGTATATGTTTTTTGTTGATGACATTCTTCTTGTTGATAAGATTAGAGAGGGAGTTGAAGGAAAACTTGATTTATGGAGGTCAACCTTAGAGTCTAAATATTTTCGTTTGAGCATATCTAAAATTGAATACATGAAGTGTAATTTTAGTAATAATAGTTCTAGTGGCGGGATTGTGACTTTGGGCAATCAAGTCATTAATAAAAATACATGTTTTAGATATCTTGGGTCTATTGTTCAAAGTGATGGTGAAATAGTTGGGGATATTAGTAGTAGAATTCAAGTTGGATGGTTGAAGTGGAAGAACGCATTCGGCCTGTTATGTGATAGAAAAGTACCCCTCAAAGTTAAGGGAAAATTTTATAAGATGATGGTGAGACCTGCAATGCTTTATGTCACAAAATGTTGGCCATTAAAAGGGAAGCATGAAATTAAGTTAAGTGTTGTAGAGATGAGGAAGCTCAAGTGCATGAGTGATTTCACTTTTAGAGATAGTGCGAAATGAGTATTTACGTGAAAATGTTTGAGTGGCTCCAGTGGCTGATAAGATTAGAGAGTCACTATGGATGGTTTGATCACATAAAATGACGGCCTTTTGATGTCTTGGTTAGTAGAGTAGATGTGTTAGATTTGGCCTATGTTAAGAAAGGTAATCGTAGACCTAAAAAGACTTGGTTAGATTGTATTAAAAATGATAATTTTTATTAAATTTAAATAAAAAATTGACTCTTATTAGGACACAATGGAGATAAAGGATTCATGTAGCTAACCCACGTAGTAGGATAACGGCTTGATGTTGTTGTTGTTTTTATTGTTGTATCTTTTCTTTACCATTTTGCTTATAAATCATTTATTTACAAAAGCAGAAAATGTAATAATATTATATTACTAAGACCTGCGGAGAAATGTTGTAAGAGGAACATATTGTTAAGCAAATTTGAGCTGCTTTAGAGCAGCAGGTTTTAATTCTTAGCTGATCTAGTTACAATGAAAAAAATGATCATAGCTCCTGTTGTAAAGTCATATGTAATAGATGCTAATGTATTTCTCTGAATGGAGTTTATTGACTAGACTTGCGTTCAAACAATGATTCATGCCAAATCTAACCAGAATTTTACAGTTGTTTACATGCATAATGATTATATGCAGATTGTTAATTGGAGGCATTACCTAAAATTTCCTGATGAGGCAAAGCTTTCACCAGAAGCAAAAGATCTCATTAGCAAGTTGTTATGCAACGTTGAACAGAGGCTTGGCACTCGAGGTGCCCAGGAAATAAAGGTTTTATGTTATAGCGATTATTTGATTTTATTTTTACTTCTGATTCTCTTTAGGTTGGCAGTAGATGTTAACATTTGTGTGCTCTTTAGGCACACCCCTGGTTTAAAGGCATGCCATGGGATAAACTCTACCAGATGGAAGCTGCTTTCAAACCAGAGGTTAATGATGAGTTGGACACTCAAAATTTTGAGAAGTTTGAGGAGGCAAGTCTCCTATCTTCTATTGAATTTATATAGGAATGCTTCCAATAGTGTAGACTGCTTGCATACTTTTATGCTTATTTATTAATTTGACCCTAAACAAACTAAAGTGATTTTTGTATGATGCACTTACTCAAAGTTTAGCTTTTCCATATTCTATTATAATCAAATCAATCTACTGAATAGAGGTTTACCCCTTGTGCCTTGGCCTGTAGAGTCATTTGGATTATTATTTTTTTACAAAATTATTGTTTAAAATTTGTGGAGGACAAAAATTTTTGTGCCTTGAATTTTGAGCTTTTTCATCTTATATAATGATTAAATGAACCGATTGTAATTTGTTGTCGTACCCATTGGCTTTCTTCTCGTGTCTCTTATTCTGATTCTGGAACTATATGCACTAATCTAACTCTTCACATATTCTTGTTGTGCTGAAGTGTGCATTGAGGTTCTTCCTCTTTATATTTGAATTCAATGTTTTTGATGGTGGATGTTAGATTGTTGACTCTGAACTGAACTCTGGAAGCTATTCTTAAAAATAATCTTTCGGGAAAATTGGTCTTTTCCAGACTTACCTGTTAGCGTTCAGTTCTTTACAAAATCAAGCATGTTAGGCGTTCTGCACCATTCCAGGGAATAATTTTCACCTTGTTTTTCGTTCCTTTTTTTCTTTGCTAACATTCTGCTATGGATTTCGCCTTACAGACAGCAACCGCAATGCAAACTTCATCAAAGTCTGGACCTTGGAGAAAGGTATATGTTCGACTTTGCCTGAACATAATTCAATTTGTTAGTTATGTCGCATTGTTTACCTTCTAAGTGCTTTTTTAGAGGTCTACACGTATGATATATTGATTTCATGCTTATAGTTTGAAGTCATGAACAAGCAAGCTGAGTGTTGTGATTTTTAAAATGAAGTTAAAATTGAACAAGACATGAGAATGACTATGAAGTTCGTAATGAAATGATTGAAGACCAAGTTTTTTTTTTTAAATACAAAATTAAATGTTGTAGTGTAAAAGCTTGATTTCATCATTTGCAATCTGACATGGACCTTGCTCTCCTTATAAATTATTTTAGTAACATTCTACAATTACCTCTTGGCATTATTTATTCAAAATTTATTCACGGAGGGATTTCCTACATTCTACGATAATGGATTCTTAATTTTGTCCAAGGACCGCTACAAATGGATCATGACTGCAGACTTCTCAGAATCGTGCTTCTGTTTTGTTTCATTTTTTTTTTCTTAATAATGAAAAGCAAAAGTTGTCCAAAATTGGAGAAATTATTAGGCGCGGAGTCTGGACATATCTTTGATGTTGACACGTGGAGTGGACACGTGAATATTCAGTTGGATTTATTTTTTATTTTATATATTTAATTTGACCGTGGAACTTTAAGTCAAGCGCATCAAAAGCATAGCCTAAGTGCAGGTAAAGCACAGTTAAAAAACGCAACAAAAGAACAGTCAAAGCGCAACTAAAGCACATGTAAAGCACAAATAAAGCGCACAAAAAAATGCAACCAAAGCGGCAAAGCACACTCCATGTATCACATTTTAAGTGAATGTCTGGACATATGTCTACGTCCGGACTCCGCATCTAATAATTTCTCCCAAAAATGTGTTGAAATTTTATAAGGTTAAATGTCTGAGTTGCTTGTAGATCACTGATTATATTTATTTCCTTCTCTATCACAGATGCTTTCATCAAAAGATGTCAATTTTGTGGGTTACACATACAAGAACTTTGAAATTGTGAACGACCCTGACATATCGGGCATAGGTACTCTCATGCTTTTACAAATTATCAACTCTTATATCATATTTCCTCTATCTACTCCATATTGTTATATGTTATAATGCACCATCAACAATCTTTACACGCAGCTGAATTGAAGAAAAAGAACAACAAACCTAAAAGACCTTCTATCAAGTCATTATTCGGTAGCTCCCTAATACCATTCAAGTCTGCAAATTTTCTATGAACTGGTTGAACTCTAATTATGTGATAAATATTAAATACTCTTGTTGATCTGCAGAGTCAGATGCTGAAACCATAGAATCTGAAACTTCTTCAAATCAAACAAATCATGGAAGCTTTCTGAAAATGTTGCCTACACATCTGGAGGTGTACGAGAGCCCTGAGCCATCTCCTCATTCCAGTAAGACATCCTCTTATCATCCACCACCCCGACATAGATAGTAGAAGCAACATTGATATTCTTCAACTGTTCATAGCTAAATTAAAAAAAGAGAAGCACTTCTTTTACTTCCAATCTTCAGAGCATTTTGCTTTTTATTCAAGTTTAAACGCATGTTGTACATTATTGTCATCATGTATGTATGAGCGTGACTATTTATATGGGTTTTAGCACCCCTCTTTGTGTAAATCTGTGCTGACCTGCGTCTGAAAGATTGAAGAGAAAACTTTCAAAATGTTATACTGACTGAGATTGTAATGAAAATTATTAATTCTTTTTATTCTGATTTGGATAAATGAAATGCAGTAAACTATGCTGTGTGTAATGTGTTAAGAGTTGTTATGTGAACTTCTTCGGATCATTTTTTATTGCTTTCTAAAGTAGCTTTTCAGAAAAAAAATTTAATTTAAGCAGTTTTTGAACTAAAAAATTGCTTTATAAAACAGTAAGAAAGCCGTCCCAAACGAAGACTAAGACATCGTTTGGGACTCACTTTTTTACTGCTTCTTAAAGTTGTTTTTTTGTATAAAAATTTTATTTTTTTACTAGAAAGTTGCTTTAAAAAGCAAAAAAAATGTCTATCCCGAACGAAACCTGGGACGGCTTTCTAACAGCTTCTTAATACAATTTCTAGTAAAAAAAATTAATTTTTGTCTACTAAAATATTGTTTTAAGCAGCAATAAGAAAGCTGTCCCAAATAAACCATAAGTATTTGTTCTTCATTAGAATATTGGTATTATCTATGTTTGCTCATTTCTATTAAGGATGAGATGATCATTATTAATTTCTATGCATTTCTTTCTCGCTTTCCTGTTATACTGTTGCTGTGCTACATTTAGGCTTTGTTTGGGACGGCTTTTTTTATTGCTTTTTAAAACGGAGTTGTAATACAAATTTTAAAAAATTTGTACTACAACTCCGTTTTAAAAAGCAATAAAAAAGCCGTCCCAAATGAAGCCTTAAATTGATGCATGTGGGGCAGCCTTATAGAAATTGTGGTTATTTGCTCTGTATGGAGCCATTTATTATAAATTCAGCTCTCATGTTTATTTGACTTTATGATGACTTATTCATTCAATTAGTTATAGTATTAGTTGGTATTATTATTATGAATAAAATTAGTGATCTTGTAAGTAAATTTATAATCAAATTAAAAACTATATGCTTTTTAATTCAAGAATTAGTTTTATATAAAAATTTACTTTTTTCAAGCACTTAATAAAAGTGCTTTATTGATAGATTTAGGTTTAAATTGGGATGGTTTTCTTATTGTATTTTTTTAAATAATGTTTTAGTATAAAAATTATTAGCTCATAAAATTTTTGGATCAAATTTTTGGATCAAAAAATTATTTTAGAAAATTGTAAGAAAGTTATAACAATAGTTTGTCATAAAACAAGTAAGAAGACCTAGTTTAATTGGTAATTTTTTAGTATCATATCAGTGTTAGTAAACCATTAGACCAATAAATAGAGTTGTCATTCTTTGCTTATTGGTATAATAATCATCTCCTTATAACTCTCAATCAGTGTATCACATGTCTCAGACGAAGATAACATCAAATCATAACTTAAACGAAAACACATCGACCTATCATCCTATAGATCAATCAGTTTTCAATCAACATCAGTGAATAATTAGTCTTTACTTATTTTTTTTCATACTTATATTATTATCACAGTATTATAATAGCAATATAGAAACCAGCGATTGCTCAACTACATATTCATACTTCTTTTCAATGCATCGTAATAAATAAAACATAATTATGCTTAATTTAGAAACTGTCAAAATGACTTAAAGGTAGACAACATAAAATCTTACTCAGAAAAAATTCATATTTTTAGAAATTTATCAAATTTTCAGATATTATATAAAACAACATTATGAAGCTTTAATTGAACTCAAACACTATTTTTAGATGTCAAAAAATCTCAAAAACATAAAATTATTGAAATCATAAATAGGATATAGATTACTTATAGCAAGAAGAGTAAATCTCCAAACATAGTTGACTAACGAAAATCGCTCTACGGCCTTCAAATTCTTGCTTTCTTTTTCTCTCTCCTCACTTTTTCTCTTAATTATCATTTTCATTTTTTTGTTTGGCCAACATTGATGTTTTGAATTATAAAGTTTATTTTTGCTGTTTATACTTATAGATGATATTAGATAACTCAGATTTTCATTTGTTAAAAGAAAAAAAAAAAATCTTATTCTAAATTAAATTTTGAGGCGTCACAATAGTAAACCAGTACGATACGAAGGCAATAAAATATTACAATACGGGAATGATGAAATGCATAAACCAATAAATCTAGTACGGATATCGAAATGACCCAACAACAAACAATCATTCTTAAATTGTACGTTGTAATAGTGTAATCAATAAAAAATCATATAAATAAGCAAAATTGAAGAATTTATGAAGACTATTGGAATCCGTATCAATGTAGTGATATCACAAAATCATATAAGAGTATACACATGATGTTCATTTATTCTATATTAATATCAAATCAATTCTCATATCTCATGCTCAATAATCAAAATCAGTCTCAATAATAATAAAATAATACAAAAATATGCATTAAGTAATCACACTAATTAAACGAGTGATGGCTTTCGTAATATTTTTTTAGTAATCAATAAATCAATAACCATTAGCTCAATAAATATAGTCATCACTATTGCACATCGGCATAATAGTCATTTCCTTATATCTCCCAAGATGCAAATCACATGAATTAGTAGATAATAAAATCAAACCACAATGTTTAAAAGAAAACTCGTCGGCCCACAATCCTGCATAGGTTAGTCAGTCTCCAACCATCATTAGTAAATAACTAGCATTTACTTTTTCACATATTATTACAACAATAATAACAACTAGTTATTACCCAATCAAATGCTCATATTCATTCGTAATTTTTGTATTAAAAATATCAAAATTACTATTTTATATAAATCATATAAAACATATTAATTACCATTTACCCAAAGAAATTATAAAATCAACTAGTCAAAATGTTTGGACTAATCAGTGCTACGATATACAAAAAGATGTATGATAGAAGTTCACTAAATCCGGAGAAAATACAATAAAATCATTTTAGGTGAAAATCAAATAGTCGAAATCAAAATATTTAAAAACAGAAATAGAATAGATGTCACCTATAATAATATGAGCAATTTTCATAAAAGTGACCAAATGAATCATAGACCAAAATCCTAATTTCTTGCTCCTCTCGCATCCTTCCTTCACCTTGTTCTTCTTTTCTTCCATGGCAAGCCACAACTAATAGAGTGAGGGAGGCGAGTGGAGAGAAAAATATAAATAAAAACTCATTTTAGTACGTAGTGTTGCGGCACCCAAGGGACCCAGCACCGCTGCTTTGTATACGCTGAATCCAAAATTACAGTAGAACATAACTTTCAATGTTGTGGTGACAATTTTTAATGCCGTTGCACTCACAAGCTCAACGCCGCTGGCACAACACCAGTGTGCTTCAGTTCAGACAGAAGTTCAGATTCTCATTTAAAATATTTATCAATAATTATCTGGTTGTTACATGTAATACCTGCCATTCTAACGCATGTTGCCAACGTTAAATAAAAAAAAAAAAAAAATTGGTTTGTTGTACTCGTTAATGAGGTTCAAACCTCGTTTTAACCAGGTCTAAACCTAGTTCAACCACAAATATAAACTTATTCAAACCTCATTAAAACTATGAGTTTGAATCGTGTTTAAACCACGAGTTAATGTTCGAACAAAATATAGAAGTCGTACAAACCTTATTTGGATATAGTGCAACGAGCCATTTTAAATCAGATTTCGTTTCTTTCATACTTAAATAAGTAGCCTATGAGAAAAAGTTTTAATATTTCAGTTAAAAATCAACTTTTAGTCATAATTTTTCATGAAAATAAATAATGAGTATATTTAATTAATTTTGATTATTATGAGACCTATGAAGTTAATTTTTTTTTTATATTTATGATATTATTTAAATTTATATGCTATTTAAATAAGGGGGGTGGGGTTTACATACATATTATTTTTTTCATACTATTCATATATCTAATATCTAAAATTTTAATATTACATTTCTATCACTTATAACAATTTAGGAAAATTTACATACATACCACCTTATAACATCTTATTTACATATCTAACACCTAAAACTTTAATATTACATGCATACCACTATATATTATTTTAATATCAAATATACCACTTATATTTCTTTCCTACCACTAATATATTTCATTTCTACCACTCATATTTGGTATGCAAATGAACTATGTGTGGTATGTATGTAATATTAAAGTTTTTGATCTTAAATATGTAAATAGAATAGTATTAAATGTTATGTATGTAAATCTCCCTTTTTAATATCAAATATATCACTCATGTATTTTATTCTTACCACGCATACTGTCATATAAATTTTAATATTTTATTATATGTACTTATATTTATTTTATAGATGATAGTCATATAATATTAAAATTTTAAATATTAGATATATAAATAATATGAAATAAAATGGTATCTACCTAAAATCCCCTTTAAATAACTATATAATTTAATTTATATATTAATGAACTATATAAAGTAAATCCAAAGCTGAAAGAATTTCCAACTGCGAGTGGTTTTTGAAAGATAAATCCCTTTTGCTCATCTTACCAGTAGCTCCAAGGGCCTCGTCGCTTCTATTACTACGCTAGATCGAGGGGAGATGGACGCTGCCGGTTTGGACTCCAACGGTCATGGATTCCGCAACGCAGAGGAGATGTGGAGAGAGGAGATCGGCCTCGGTGAGCGGGTGGAAGAAGATGCCACATCTGCCCCCGCCGCCAAACGCCATGCCTGGTATCGGAAGGGCATCTCCTACTGGCAAGTAAATAGCTTAAAATCGCCGCCTTTATTTATATACTCCTCCTACCATCTTTTTCCATTTCTTCTCTATCTAGGGCGTGGATGCATCGGTGGACGGAGTTCTTGGTGGTTACGGCCATGTAAATGAGGCTGACGTGAAGGGAAGCGAGGCCTTCCTCAAACCCTTACTTATCGATCGGTTTGGAAACGAAAGGCGGCACCTTGTGGCCCTTGGTAACTTTTTTCTTTCTCCTGCTTCTCACTTGTTTGGATGAAAATGCGGTTTTGTATTCTAACAGAAGCAATTCATAGTTCTAAAGAATAGAAGCTTCCACAAGGCATTCGCGCCTTCTAGGAAATTCACTTTAAAAAACAAGCTTTTATTAAGATAATCCTAACCAGAACGGGTTGGCAAGTACTACAACACTAAGGGGTACTTCAAACAAGCTTTCTTTATTGCTTTTTAGAGTAGAGTTTGAAATGTTTCGTAAATCATCTACTTGATAGTAGTTTCACAGCCTACTTTAATTAAGAGAACCCTAACCAAATGAATAGATTTGTTCTGTTAGGCTTTGTTTGGAATGAAGTGCGGTGGAGGAAATGAAATGGAATGTGGAAAACTTATGGTCTCATTATGAATCTAGAATGACTGATTTCATGCATCCGAACACAACCTTAGTGCCACCTTTGAGCTGGAGTTTTTGATGTGCTGTAAATAATACATATTATCCTGATTTTAGAAGCTAATGGAGTATTTTATGTAGTGAAAAGCAGATACCTGGCAATGGGGTGTATTATCGTTGTTCTAACCGGCTTTAGAAATTACTGCAGATTGTGGTTCAGGCATAGGGAGGGTCACAAAGAATCTCTTGCTGAGACATTTTAACGAGGTAAGAATCGCTATATTATGGCATGTAATAATTTTTTGATTTGGTATAAGATCACCCATAATTTTGATTGTTGCATGAAATATATATATATATATATATATATAATCCATTCTTTTTGCATGTCTTATGCTATCCAACAAAAATAATTGAATGAAAAACATAAAAAGTAGCTAACAGCTACTTTCTATGTACAAGAAGAATTGACTCTATCTTTCTTAAAGGATATGTCTTGTTGAAGTTGGAATTCAGGCTATGAAGCATGGATACATTGATGGAACATCTTATAAGGTATTTGAATAATATGGACATGAGTGCAAATTTGAAAATGTAGGTATAATTGGTGGATGTAATATGAACTGAAAACTTTTGTATGCATAAATGCATAGACAATTGCATGTATTGATATAGATGAAAAAACATCAATGCATTTTGCACTTACAAACATAAAATTTATAAATAAATAAATGACGACCAAGTTACATCTCATGTTGAAAATATATTGTATAAACATTTTGTAAACATTTTGAGCTCAACTCACATTTATTTTATTCCCAAAAATTTAGATGGTGAATTCCTCAAAAACTTTAGACCTATTAATTTGCTCATTGGAGCTTTAAAAAATTTCACTATAAGTTCTTCCTCATTTTCTAAGGTTTTCTTCCCAAATTGGTTTATGTTTCTTTGGTTGCTTTTATGAGTGAAGGGAAACTATTGATTGTCTTATTGCTTCCCATGAATTGATTCACTCAATTATCAAGCAAAAGAAGGATATTGTAATTTAAAGTAAATTTTGAAAAAAAAAAAATGATAGTTACTGGTGGGATTTTTTAATAATACTCTTTTAAGTTGTTCCTTTCCTTTGAAATGTATCTCCTGGATTATGGATTCTATTTCTCATACAAAATCATTGTTTGTGGGGATCTTTGTAAGCAATTGTAAGCTTTAAAGGTCTTAGGCAAGGACTCATATCCTTTTTGTTATTGTTGATGATATTTTTCATAAACTGGTACAAGGTGTTTCAACTGATAACTTGATTGATGCTTGTTACTGCAACCTTGGAGAGCCACCTATTACTAATCTCCTATTTGTGTTGATACTTTGTTGTTTTGCAGTGCTCATTCTCATTAAACAAATATTCTAAAAAATATTTCATCCATATTTGAATATGTATTTGGGCTTAGAATCAACTTTTAGTATTATCTTATTCATGTTAGTAAGCAGCATGGTTTTGGTGCTCTTGCTTGCTAATATTTTGGGTTTTTAAACCCCACATGTTCTTGGGGGTTCTCTCCGGTTCCAATAGTCTTCAACATGCTTTTTAGAATCCTCTCATCCAAGGTTCAAAATTACGCAATTGGGTATTGAAGCATTTTTCGTTCGTGAGGCGAGGCGTAAGCCTCAAAGCGTTTTGAGGCATAAGCCTCAAAATCTAAAAATTGTGTTAAATCAAAATAAAAGTTAAAAGTGATTTTTTATATAATATTTAAATAATATGTTAAAGGATGACATTAATTTTTTATTGAACTATGAAGTAACAAATTTACATACATATGAAATAAAAAATTGTTTAAGATGTAAAGTGTTAAGTGATCAATTATGTGAGATAGAATTGAAATCTAAATGTACAAGAATAAAACAACATAAAATATGAATTGCATAAAAGTATTATATAACATCAAGTTCAGCTCTAATTTTTTTCTTTCTCAGTTTCCTACTCGTCTACGTTTAATTCTTAAAGAAAGCTAAAATAATTGACAATAACTCAGAAATCATATGTACTATCATTACTAAGGGGATTTTTATTTGAGTCATTGTCATAACAAATTGGTCTCTTTCCCGCCTCATCTTGTAGAGTCCAATACTCTCAATTTGCTTCTTCATTTATCTGAGTCATCTTCATCTTTCATAAATATTTGTCATCAACAAAAATATAATACTCCAAAATTTTAAGAGGAGATGGTGGTGGGGTGCGGCTTTCTAGTGATCCCCTACGACAACTACGATGGTGATGACTACGGTGAAAGCGATGGGCTAGAGGTCGAGGCAATTGAGAGGAAGTTGTTGCGTCTTGGGAGTGCAAGGCATGATTTTTTTGGAGCTTTTGTATATGATTTAGGTAAGTTTTAAATAAATAAAAAAACATAAATAAAGTGAGGCATACGCCTCATTTCAGTGAGGCGCGGGCCTCATAAAAAAAAAATGCTTGAGGCATATGCTTCGAATCATTTTTTATTGGAATTGCGTTGAGGCCCACCTCAACGAGAGCCTCATACTGCACAATTTTAAACAGTGCTCTCATTTGCAAGATTCGTTTGAATCCATCTTTCTAGAAAGGTAACATGTTCTTTAAAGTTGGTAGAACTATGCTTATTAACTACGCACACTCTTTATTACTTCTTATTTTTGGATTCCTAATTGGGTTGATAATATTAAAAGAATTGTTTTGGAAGTGTAATGATGAATGTTGTGGTCCAAATCTAACCAAGTGTAAGTATATTAATAGGCTTAAAGAAAAAGGTGGACTTGGCATCGAGGACCTATGAATGATGAATTTTTCTCTCCTTAATAAATGTATTTGGAAGTCTATTCGATAAAAAAATATTCTATTGTTTCCATCATCCAAAAAATTACTTTGTCAACTTGATTCCCTTGGACTTAATGGTTTAATAATGTTTATTGTTGCACCAATTTTATTAACGGGATATCTAAAGCCTCTAATCTTTTGATTCTTTTCCTTCTCAATGTTTCTTGGACAGCTGACACTAGTAGAAATATTTTATTTTGAAGGGAAATAGATTAATGATTTCTCCCATGCTTTTCAATTTAATGCTCGTTTCATGTATGCTATAAAGTATAATATTTCTCTTGCTCCTTCGTACTACCACTATAGTTTTGCATGGGTTATGGAATGGGTTCATTTCTTTTCATTTTATTGATAGAGTGGAATTCATGTTAAATTTTATCAATGGGTTTGATCTTGAGTTGATTGAGACATTTATTGGTTTCTCTCTCTTCCAATGGTGTTTTTATGTTAGTTTCTTTACTCATTTCTGATGGATGGTGGTGTCATCCTCTTTGATTTGGAGTTTTAGGTATTCTCTAAAAAGTTTGGTACTTGTCTAGTTTCTTTATGAGGAGATAAACTCAGGAAAACTCTCTTTACTCAACAAAGGTCTTGTTAACCCTACTGCTTTTGATATGTGTATGATACGCTAGGGGGCCCACCAAGCCAGCCCAGACTAGCCTAGCCTTGGCTAAACCATCTATTTGCTGGGTAGAATCAGGGGCAGCGGGAGGGGGAATTTTGAGCCCCCTTGTGGGGCCTAGGAGAGCTATTATTCATTATATAAGGAGGAATCAAGGGGGAGCTGTTTAGAAAGGTTTTAATTGTGTTTATTTTGTGTTAAGGCTATTTAAGGGGGAGTTTTATCTAGGGTTTTCATCTTATGTGTGCTAAATTTATTTTTTCTCTTTTGGTGTAAGTTTCCTATCAGCTAGGATTTATGGGAGAGCTAATCTATCACAACCCAACCCAATATGATCTAATACTACACACATGTCATATCATGTCCAATTGTGGTAAGGCTGACCCCAAGATCTGGTTGGAGAAGCACTGAAACAAAACTATCAAAGTATACATAATATAAAGCCACTACTGAATACAAATAAAGTGAAAGACCATTGTTTAAAATTGCGCAATATGAGGCTCGCTTCAGCACAATTCTAGTCCAAAACGCCTTGAGTCTTTTGCAGTTTTGCCTCTAGCATTTTTGTAAGACTTGCACCTCAGCTTAGCTGAGGTCTGTCTTGAGGCATGCCTTGCCTCACTAGCGTGAGGCTTACGTCTCACACTATTTGTATATTTTTTTTATTAAAACTAACATAAATCACGCCTTCATACACATTCGAGCGCAACAACTTCCTATATATTGCCTTTAATTCCAACCTGTGACCTTTGTCATAGCCAACACCGTCATAACTGTCACCGACAATCACTTGAAAGCTGCATACCACCATCCCAAAAAATTTGGAGCATTAATCTCATATTTATGTTGATGAAATAATTTTTAAAAGATGAATATGATTGAAATAAATTAAAAAGAAGTCTATTGGAAGACATTCAACTCTACCGAATGAGGCAGGGGATAGACCAATTTGTTATGACGACAGCTTGGATAAAGACCACCTTAGTGATCATAGTGCATATGATTCCTAAGTTGTTATCAACTACTTCAGTTTTCATTAGGAATTAAATGTAAATGAGTAGAGAATTGGGAAAGAAGAAATTTGAAGTTGAACATGATGTTATATGATACTTTTATGCAATTTTTAAATTTAATATTATTTTTCTCTTATAATATTTTGATTTTAATTCTATTTCACGCAATTTATTACTTGTCACTTCATATCTTTTGCAATTTTTTGTTTTATATGTATGTCAATTTGTTAATTCATATTTCAATAGGAGGTTAATATGTTATCATTTAACATATTATTTAGGTATTATATAAAAAATTTTATTTTTGACATTTATTATTACTTTACGCTATTTTTTGATTTTGAGGCTTACCTCAAAACGCCTTGAGGCTTACGCCTCGCCTCATGAATAAAAAACGCCTCAATACCCAATTGCGCAATTTTAAACATAGTGAAAGACTACTAAATTTCAAATATGATTATCTATATATCATCCAAAAATACATATATAATCTAAGGTATCTAAAGCAGTGCTTGACAATAGTGAAAATGACAAAATAAAAGTCAAGCCTACAAAAATCAAAATTAACCAAAAATATGCCTACAACATGATTAGAGCTCCCTATCCAAAACTACTCAGCTTGCTTCTTACCCTTCCCTTGGCCTAAAAATGGAAGCAGAAGCATGAATGAGCTAATACGGCTCAGTAAGCTATCACAAACTAAAATTAAATCAATAATTGAAATAAAAAAATAAAAATACGATGCTGTAAAAGTATTGTACTTAAAAATTGGAATTGAAATTGAAGCAAAAGCTGAAACTGAAACCAAATGAATTATAAGCAGATACTCATTTTATAAGGAGGCTCTCAGCCTAAGTATATATATATATATATATATATATATATATAGCTTTGTTAACAAAATTCATCTCTATAGCATGCTAGCTCGGCATAATAGAATCCCATCTCAGTCCCCCATTGTCGCTAGCATCACTTCACATTACATCATCTCACATCACATCACATTTCTTTCATCATTATACATAATTTTTCAATGCATTTCATAAATTAAAGCATCTACTTCTCTACCAACATGTCCATTTAAATCTTCTTTAATAAATTTTTTTTCAAGATATATCTTTTGTAATAATTCTTTTTAAGTTATTATAAAATTTAATTTTGAACATATATTCAAACCTACTTGAAAAGTATAAGCATTTATAATAATAATAATCTTAGCATCAACAATAATATTTAAAGTTATAATTTTATCTTCAATTATATTAATTGTTACAACATTATTTTTCAAACTCTTATCTATAATCACACATACATCATTTCTAGTATGATTATACTAGAATACCATAGTTTAAATCTTAAATTATTAATCTCCTTAGCCTTCTCTCCTAATTTCTTGAATGTATGAAATATTTATCTTCCTATGAATAATATGTAGTAATTATATTAATTTGCTTATAAGGGAACTTACATTCCAAGTTCTTATCCTAATTTTAATTTCATGGACTTTCATCTTTGTTCATATCCGTCCATGATGTGGAAACCCTTGTCTATTTAACACTACTTTCTGGCACCGGTGCAACGACCATTGCACATTTGTCATTGTATTCAAATCATACAGCGCATCGCTTCCAGGGAATGCCCTAACATTAACGCAATGTATTAAAGAATTCATGTCATGATTATTCGATAAGTTTTACGCTAGTTGTCGACTACCTAACACAACCCTCCATTTTTTTCATCCAGGATACGAGATATGATGACGATAATGTTATGTGATTAATATGAATAACTAGAAAAAATAAGGATTAAATAAAAGACACCTAAAAATTTAGGGTTTAGTTTGATTATTCAAATTTGTATGCTTAGGCATAACAAATCATGTAGATGTAACTGGCTAAAACTTTGGCTTTTGTTATTGTAATAACTCTTTTATGCACCTTTTCCATGTTCCATATTTTGTTTGTGCTTTACATGTATACCTGTGATGAGGACATCAGTCAGAGATTTTAGCATGTGTACCGTTGACGAAGTCGTAGATCGACAGCTACGATCCAGAGTCTTTACTTTTGATATATTTTGTGTTTTATTTATTTTGCATTTCTATGTTCCAAGTTTACCCCTATGGGTAATGAGTCTCTATTGTAACCTCGAGGGCATTTGTGTCTTTCTGCTTTTCTTATTATTGAGGCCTATATATTAAGGTCTCTTGGATTTGTATGAAAAAATGATTTGATGAATGAAAATTTCAGATTTCTTGGCTTGATCTCTTAGTGAGTTCTTGAGAGAAGAAACCCTAGGTGAAGGTGAGAGCAATACCCATCAACATTCGGAGGATTCCAAGGTTCGTGGCTCCGATCTTTTATTTTCTATTTTTTCCTCTACATCCACCTCCCCTCCTAACCACCGACCCACCGGCCTCCCCAAAACCCCATTCCCTTCCCCTCCTCCCAAAACCGAGCCCCTCCCCTCCCCTAATCCGCCGGCCTCCACCCATCCCTCTACCCAAACCTAGCCGTCGGCCACTCCCCTTGATTCCTAAATTTGAAATTCAAATCTCAAAGCCCATTACTCTCTTTCCTAAAATAGATTTTGGTAATTTGGAAAGTTTCCTAAAGAGAATTCAATTAATTAATTGAATTTTCAAATACTTTCCTATTGCTTAAAACGTAGATAGGAAACTTCCCAATTTAATTAAAACTAAGATGGAAACCTCCCAATTTAATTAAATCTGAGATTAAAATAAGATTTGATTAAATTCCCTAGTTATTTCTTTGGGGCCCACTTAAGACAAAACCCCCAATCCTCCTCCCCATATGGACTGCTCCTCTACCAAGCCTATTCTCTCTCCAAATTAAGTGCTAATCATCATTAATACCCCTTTAATACCTCCCCAAACCGCCGGCCCCTATTCCCCCTTGGAGTAAATTTTTGAAATGCAATTTACTCTCCTCCCTCCCTTAAGAAAATTTGAATTCAAAATTCATATTTACTAAAATCCTTTCCCCACGTCTTCAAACCTAACCCAAACCGACCCTCTCTCTCTTTGGGCTTGCTTTTAATTCTCAAGGGGGAGATTGACATCATCCAATCACCTTTCTTCGACCTCGGATTTGTATCCGAAAGCACTGTCGAGGAATACGTCGATCGTATTCTCTTCCATTTAGCAGACGTTATCGACGAACAAAGACCTATTGGAGAGTGGAATATCACCGGACGACCACCCATTTCTCCAACTCCGACTCCTTCCCCGACGACTAGCACCATCAGCATCGCGTGTCTTCTAACGGCATCTCTAAGTTTTCTTGCAACATTCCTCCGCAAAGAACTATTGTCATGAGTGTGAGTGGGGGATCTCCAGGTGAATGATCTAAATGTTAAACTATGGACTCTTGTTAAATTCGCCATAAGCTTTATTTATTTATGTGGTTGTTGTTTTGCGAGTATCCTAATAATCTCCATAGTAAGTGATTGATATTACTTAATCTTCTCACAGATTGTTCTAAGGTCTAACTTGAAGAAGCATTAGTTTAAATTTAGCAAAGCAAAGTTCATATTTTGATTAATTTCCATAATGCAATTCTTGTTTGCCACTTTGTTTCACATCAACTTGTCTTTTAATGATTACAGGTGTCTGTGTGTGTATGCACTTATGCACTCATTTTTTTTTCTGCATGTATTATCTTGTGTGGCTAGGCATATTTGTGTATGATTATTTTGCTATACTCTAGCTCAACTTTTTTTCTAGATTTGAATTATCAAGTTTTATTATTTGCAAATACATTTTTTGTCTAAATTTTTACGCCCATGTTCAGGTCGATCTTTTGGAGCCTGTATCACATTTTTTAGATGCTGCTCGTGAAAATCTTGCTCCCGAAGGTGATATGAAAGAAGATGTGCACATGGCTGTCAATTTCTTTTGTCTCCCACTTCAGGTCTCATTAATTTGATTTTTTTCTTAATAATTGCATCCATCGATTGAATTTTTTTTTTAATTCAATTATCTTAATATTTAGGAATTTACTCCGGAGATTGGAAGGTATGATGTGATATGGATCCAGTGGTGTATAGGACATCTACCGGATGATGATTTTGTATCATTCTTTAAGAGAGCGAAGGTGTGATCTAAAGCTTTGTTATGCTTTTATTTTTTGATTTCATGGTTTAATCAACTTAGATAAATGTTGCTCTATTTTTCTTTTTTCTTATGATTTGTTTAGGAAGTTCTCAAACTTTTCATTGGTATATAGTTAGTTGAATCTCACACTTTTATTATGCTTCAGATCACTAATTTTTGGGGGGTTTTATTTTTAGCAAGTGGCATTTTCAATAACATTCATTAACCTAATGAAGCATTCCTTTTCTCCATAGTTCTTGCAGCATTAGGGTTTGCATGTATAGAACTCAAGGCACTACTTTAAGCATGTGAATAATCTACTGCAAAACAAATTGAAAAATTAAAATATTTCATGACCGTATATCGGATTTGCAAAACCTAATATTTGAGTTATGTGTAGTAATGCCATTATATATCTTATTCAAATGACTCTTTCAAATAGATAATATGCAAATTCATTAAAATTATGAACAAAGTGGTTATTTGTAGGGTTATTACAAATACTCTAGATAGACTAAAGAGTAGATCTTAGATCCTTGTGACTTGGGTGCGGATTTACTTGGGTCATGTTAAGCTTTTAAGCAAGATTGTCTTGATTTTTATTTCATAGATTGATTGGGATTAAGTAATACATTGCTTCTTATCTCATATTGGAGCAAGTTGCCCTTTTCTATTTGAGATTCTGAGACTGCCTGAAGCACTACCGCATTCTAAAGACTTGAAGAATGGCAAATCTTTCTTGACGGTTTGAAGGGCCCCTTTTCGCCTCTCCTTGACAATTTCCCTTGTAGTAAAATGGGTTCCTATTTACCAGCATTGCTTTTAAACATAACGTTATTTGACTTTATTCCGAAATATCAGTGCCATTTTTATATTTCCATGCTCCATATATGTCATTACCTTTGACAAGTTTTAATTGTTACAAGTTGGCTTAAAGCATTACATCCAAATATAACATTTCCTTAACTTTATTCTGAAATGTCTAAGCTACTTTATGTTTCCATGTTTGATATATGCCCTTTACTTTTGACTACTTATAATTGTTGCAGGTTGGCTTAAAGCAGAATGGCTTCTTTGTTGTTAAAGAGAATGTTGCAAAAACAGGTTTTCTCTCTTGCCTACTTCTTCCTTTCCTCTATGTGTGTGCATCGTAAGTTTTCAAAGGTAGATTATGCTCTAGAGATTTCTCAACATGGCAACCCGAACTGATTATGATTTATTTTATTCCGAGGGATTATGGTTTCTTATGTGCGGCCTCTACGATCAATTTTATTCTCATTCGTAGGTGGAGAACATACTTTATTGAGGACATCAGTTGTACTCTGAGTATATGAAGTTATTGTCATTCATATGGGGACAACTTTGTCATTCAGATGGGAATGAAAGGGGATGGATTATCAATCAGATCAGGATCCAATGGTTCTTCATTCAGTGTCAATTAGGTTGATCCAATTTGCCATTGATAGAGGGCCTAAAGGTGCATCATCTAGGAAGTTTTATAAGTAATCAAGGATTTCCCTCTAAGATATTCAAAGTTGACCAATGTGGTAGTATGCCAAAGGGCGAGTGTTTTAAATGGAAATAGGTTCTATGGTATTGGTATAGCTGCCTGTGGTTCAAAGTTTTAGGGAAATGAACACCAAAGTTCAATGATTTGGCTTTGGATATTCATATCAGAAGTACATTTGGCATGGGATATAGTGTGATATACATTGGTGATTTTAAGATTCACCTTGACAGATTGGCCTGGAACCATGAACTTAATGTGCAAACCCTAATTGGAACTTACAACATTTCTTGGTAAGGCCTACTGCATGGACTTGCCTGGAGATTGAATTTGGTTGCATTCTTTAGTAGGAAGTTAATCTATGATGTGTAGAGTTGGCCTTCAAAGTGAAGGAGCATAGCTTGAAGATTAACAGGAAAATGGTCCGGTGATTGATGACTAGTGGCTGAATGTCAGTTGTGATGTCATGATGGGCTTGGTTGAAGGTTAGGGCTTACAAGTTACTCTGCATAGGAATAGAGAAATTGGGATGGGACTTGCACCACTGAGGTTGAGTGATGCGAAAAGGTGTTAGCTGTTTGACCTAATGACATGTTGGCAATGTGCCAGGCTAATTAAAGGGCTGAGGCTTACATCAGGTAAAAGTTCTAATTATGTGACTTAGAGGGAAGCCCAAAGGTGGGAATTCTGATTTAAAATGTATATCGATCCAAGGATGAGGCCTCGTAGATAGGGCATGCCAAGGATGTATTGGGGACCATGGCCTGATGGGCTTTAATAACAATGCTTCGGCCCAACCAAAGGGTTAAGGACCTATAAACATCTATAAGAAGACAAGTAGACATTGAGATGTCAACACCATAAGAAGAAATCGATATTAACTTGGCTAATCAACTCACTCTTATTCAATATAAAATAGCTATGAGGATGATGAAAAATATGAGTAAGATGATCCTGACAATGAATCTATGACTAGAATATGAAAGATCGATCTCAATATCGTTGTCTCGACAATAAGAAGTCAGTGGGTTCTAGTAGGCAAGCAAACGACTCAAAGTTGAGAATTTTGAACCTTCTTTCAGTGGACGATGTCAACCCTACAAAGCTGAGGGTTAAAATTGATATCCTTACACTTTATTATTCTATCGACTCAGACAACTGATACGCTTTGGTTTCACAAATTAGGGTTTGCCCTAATTTTCCTTCAAGAATGGAATTTCTCCACCAAATCTCAATCAACACCAAACAAGAGAGATGAGAGGAAGAACAAAAGAGCTTTGCATTAATCTTGCCGGTCCATCAACAACCTTGACGGCTAAGTTAATTAACAAGAAATATATTTTAGTCTCTATGGGTATTCTTTGCAAGAGAAATTTTCTTTTGCAATATTTATGGTGGAATGCCCATCTTCGGCATGAGCATTAGAACATCACTTCGGGGCAAATTCTAGAGGATGCTTTGACAAGAATTTTACTTTATGGGGCATTGAAAAAAAAAATTGAATGAAGTGGAATGGGTTGGACTAACTGTGAAGGATTACATAACATGGTTCAAGAGATAAGCCTTGATTGATATGATATCTTGTCGAAAGACATCTCTGTTGATATATTGTTGGAGAACATGCCTCTCGTAGAGAGGAAAGGAGGAGAAATGCGGGGCATTGAGAAGAAGTGGAGTTGAAAGGGCTCATATTAAGGTAAAGCAACAACCTCACTTGTTTAAGAAATAGCCTCTATTGTGATCACAATAAGATCACATGACATGATAGATGTAAATATGGGAAACTTTATCAATATTTCTTCCTAGAAAGTTAAAAAGGGATGATATTTGGAAGAAGGTGGCTAATGTAGTGGAATAAGATCAAGCATTGGATTCAATGAATCAACTTTTCTTGAACCTTTCCTTCACGATAATATCGAAGTGGCAAGAGCTGAGTACAACACTTGACCTTAACTAATGCGAGGAACTAGTCACATTACAATCCATGCGAGGAAAATAGTGGTTAATGCCATCTTTGGCTCAGGGAATCATAAGAATATGAATTTAGTGAATCTAAATAGAAAATCAGGCCTTATAATGATTCATTAACTCCATCTTTACCCACTCAGATAGATTTATGACTCAAAGATGTGGATAGAGTTATATTGTTGATTTTACTTTTCCATCACTTGGGAGTTTATCAACAAAGTATTGTGTGAAGTGGTCTCTCTTAATAGTAGCAACAACAAGAAACGTTTATCCCACTATGTGGGGTCGGCTATATGAATCTTTTTTCTCCATTTTGTCTTATTAAAAGTCAAATTCTCATTTAAATCTACTAAAAAGGTCAATTTAATACTTTCTAACTAAGTATTTTTAAGTCCACATCTATCTTTCTTAACATAGGCCAATCTAATATATGTGCTCTCCTAATAGGGTCATATAAAGGCTGATTTTTAAAGTGACCAAACCATCTAAGGAGACTTTTTCTAATCTTATCCACCATGGGAGCTTCTCCAACATTGTAGCGTACATACTCATTTCACATTCTGTGTCTAAGGGTAAAGATCTCTCTTAGCAACTACCAAATTATATTTAGATGCCCATATTTAAAGGATTGAGATGACTTCTACTGAGTGCACTATAATACCATCTTTGTAAATATGGTGTGTATTATACTGTCAATAGGAGAAAGGGTTTTCAACCTCTTAACATGATGGCAAGTGGTTAGGTGAAGAGGATAATTAATGCTTGACAACATTTAATTTTAAGATGTTTGATTGGAGAAGCACTCAACAAAATCACAATAAAGAATTGTTACTCCCTAGGATGGATGACTTACTAGACCAATTGGAACATACTACCCTCTTCACAAAGATGAATATGAAATTTGGCTACCGCTATGTTTGAATTTATTAAAAGAATACATAGAAGATCATGTTCATTACCAAACATTAATTGCTTGAGTGAATTGTATGTCATTTGGTTTATGCAATGTGCTCATGACATCTATATGTCTCGTGAATGACATTCTAAGACCATTCATGGAGGGGTTTGTGATGTTCTATCTTGATGACATCCTCATCAACGATAAGATATTGTAGGAACTCCATATATATGTTTAGATGGTTGAACTCCCAAAAGAAAATCACCTCTTCTTGAACATAAAAGTGATGTGACTTTTGGAGAGAGACCTAATTGTACTTAGGCTTTAAAGTTGGTATTGGGGAGATCAAGATTGGCCTTGAGAAAATAAAAGCAATAAGGGATTACCAATGATTACAGATCATGGCCAACATGCAAAGCCATATAGGAGGGTGTCAATTTTTTCAAAAGTTTATTCTCAACTTCTTGATACTTGTGACACTTCTACATTCACTAAGGCCAACTTGAAGTTATCCTTGGAGAGGAAACATGTAGATATTTTTTGTATCCTTGAAGGATTCGAAGTGAAGGAAGATGCTTCCAGACATGCACTCAAGGTTGCCTTATAGCAAAAAAGGTGACTACTTATAACTATAATAAGGTGCTCATAAAAACCACTAGACGTACAATAAGGAAACACAGGCAACCTTATTTACTTGATAAATAACTATAATTCATGTGGACTACACGCCACTTCAATATCTTTGAACCCAATAAAAGCTTCATGAAACATGACATGTGAAGTGGTCCGCATATTTGTAGCAATGTAACTTAATCATCTAGTACAAAAATGAAGTGCAAAACAAAATGACGAATATCCTATCATGACCTATGGTGACTATTAACAATAATGCAATTACAACTTTTTTGGCACAAGGGGTATGTTGATTTATACAAGCCTAATGAAGACTTCAAATTATTTCTTGATGGCACCCGAGAGGGCGTATATACTATCAAAGAAGGATTTCCTTACAAAGGAATCAATTATATTTCTAAAGATGGTGATTGAGTAAAGTGGATAAGAAGTGCACACTTATAAGGTCATCAATCACTTTGTATTGATAATGATACTTAAAGACATGTAGAGATGCATCTATTTGTTGTGAGTTCATGGTATGACCAAATCCTTGAAGGGATGCATATTTAGTTGCACAAATCCTTACAAGAAGAAGCAAGTATTGTACACTCCTCTACTTGTGTCGACTCGATCATGGGACAAAATCTCCATGGACTTCTTGGGATTACTGTTGTCGGCCCGTAATGTTCATAATTATATTTTTATTATGGTAGATAGGTTCTCAAAGATCATAGTATTCCCGGTGTGTAAGCAAACTATAAATATAAGAAGCAATAGCTATGTGTTTTTCAAGAATACTTGGGTGAATTTCATGTTACCGAGCATAATAATCTCCAATTGAGATTGTCCCCTCAACTATTACTGTAATCGGTGTGGGTCAGAATATATACTACTTTAAATAGGAGCACAACCTTCCAGCCACAAATTGTTAGCTATACTAAGATGATGAACAAAATTGTTGTGCATTTGTTGTGAGGATTTAATGTATGAAATCCAAAGACTTGAGATGAGAGTTTCTCCTATATCCAATTCACATTCAACGGGGCAACACAGTTCAACAAGTTGAGTACCATTTGAGACATGCTTTGGATATTTGCCTCAAATTCATTTGACTCGGGTGTTCTTGACAAAAATAATACTCAACCTCAAAAACACACGACAAAGGTCTCAAAAGAGTTTCTTGGAAAGAATCAGGAAGATTCACTTTGGGGTAGAGACACCTCGCCAAGTCGCAACAATGCTACAAGTGGCAATATGATTAACAACGAGTATAAAAGAAGTTCAAAGATCTTGTATAGCTCCACATTAGCAATGAGAGATTAAATATGGAAGGGCAAAAAATCAAACTGATTATGTATGGACCATTCAATATTTTGCAATATTGATATTGATTATTAATTAGCTGTCTTCCTGATCTACTTAGTTGTGAACATGTAAAATATGAAGCTATGTGATCCTTCAATAGTGTATAATTAAGTAGAAGTAGTACTACCACCTCTTAATGACCTCATGCTAAATCCAATGGATTAGCCAAGAGAATAACGACTTCTAGAGCAAAGAACCACTATGATCTGTCACGATCATGACTCTAAGGTGCTATATAATATTAACTAACACGGTAGGTGGTCTACAAAGTGAATGGTATGCTTGAACTCTGGAAGACTAGTTGTTTCCTCACTGATATTGATTTACATGAAAATTACCTCCTAAAAAGGGGGTGCATTATCAGGAAATAAGAAGACTCAATGACGTGGGGCATGCCAATAGGATTTTTAAGTTGATAATGGACTCTCGAGAGAATCTTACGTGTTCCTAAAAGAATTTGAGCCAAGTGCATTATTGTCAAGTGATGTCAAGGCCGAGGGAAAGCTCAAGAAGGGTCTGGTCTCTCTGAAAGGCGTTCAACTGGCACAAGCTGAGTGTCGAGAGGAAGATCCTGACAATCGAATTGTTGAGAGGAAAATATCTAAATGGTACCCAAGGGACTAGTAACTCTAAAGCCGAGAGCACATTTGATAGCGCAATAATAATGGCAGCATGACACCATCTGTCCAAAATGCGGGCATCGAATGTGGTGCCACTTCATAGTAATTTCCCCAAAAGTGTCTTAATTACTTGTATTTGATGTTGAATTCGGCACTACACTGTTATAAGTGCATGCCATTTTTGAAACCAACGTTCCTTGTCTATATAAATGGATGTTATATAAAGATAAAGAATTTGACTAGTTGTCTTCTACTAAGTTGCATCTTAAGAGAGCTTTCATCCCCATGGCCTCTTAGTGTGAGTCTCTTTAGTTAGAATCCTAGAGAGATTGTGCTTGGCTTTTAGAAAATTTTTGAAATCAGAGAGCGGAGAGTGGATTTAAGGAAGGATCATCTTTCACATATTTTGTTTAGTTCTCTTATTAATAAAACTTGTGACTTCTTTGTTCTAAAATTAAGAATCTAGATTAGTAGTCTCACGCTTTTAGTACCTGCTCAATGAATTTGTCAGGTCTCTTTTAGATTCCTTGCCAGCTTTAACAGATCATGTTGGGTCCAACCTTCTCATCATTAAACCATACAAACCAATCCCCCATCTCAGAAACCCTAAGACAACCCATCTGCAAGCTTGCATTGAAGACCAAGGAAACATTGGAGATAAGCTCTTATTGTCTTTTATGTAATGAAATATTTTCTCAACAACATTCTGTCCCTTGCAGGATTCGTCTTGGATACCGAAGATAGTAGCATCACAAGATCTGATTTGTACTTTAGGGATCTTTTCAAACAGTGCGGCCTGCACGTTCACAGCTCAAAGGTTTGTTGATACTCTTACATATTAACACTTACTGAACCCCCCAGAAGCTCAAATATGAATACAAACATTTCAGGATCAGAAAGGATTTCCTGCAGAACTTTTTGCTGTTAAGATATATGCTTTAGTGTTTGACAAGCCCAAAGGTGGAAGAAACAAAAAACTTCGTTATAAGCCGGCCCCGATCAAGGAACGCCGGCGATCTTAGCAGCCTCTCTGAATGTTTATTGCCTGAACATCTACTAACCCGCCACCAGAGATTGGCAAAGTTAAGGTGTAAGAACTCCTTGAACATTCTTTCAGCATTCACTTTCAATTTTTCATTTCTTTGTATGTGAAGATGAAGTTAAGCAGATGATGCATTGGGTAATGGTTGATCTTCCAATCAGCTGGTTTCTTAAGCTTTCTACACTGAAAATGTTCTCCAGCAGCTCCAAAATTTTGCTCATCCTTGAGATTTTGGTCTAAATGATTCTGATTATGCTGCATTGTTCAATTGTTTTTAGCTGACTCGAAAATGATCATTTGATTTGTTTTTTTTTTTTTAATATATAAATATATTTTTAAAATGGAAGGTTTTTCAATGACTTGTATAATGAGATGGACATTGTTCTTCAGTCCAATTACATAAAGACTTCCAGAAAAATTTTATATGGATTAAGCTTCTCAATCTTTCTCTTTACTGCTGAATGAAATTGGCATTTTCAAAATAATGTGTAAAATTGATAGAGTCAGCAACCAAATCTCTACTAACCTTTGCCATTTAAGTTTCGTTTGGGATGACTTTCTTACTGTTTTTTAAAGCAATTATTTAATACAAAATTAAAATTTTTTATACTAAAAAATTATTTTAAGGAGTAATAAATAAGCAATCATAAACGAAGCCTTAGTATCTAGGTATCCACAACATCAAATCTCCCAGATCATATATATGTAGCTATAGCAAGAATAAATTTGGGTCTCCTCTACACCAAAACCTATTTCCTTCTCTGCTCCTCTCGAAGATCTAACTTCGGCGACTATTGCCTTCTACCTCCCAGGTCACAACCCCCGATCTTAATTTGGCCAAATCCACCACCCAAGGTATCACTAACTCATGTCAATCTACCCCCCCATTTAACACTCTAATGTTCCATGGACGCAGTACACCAATATTCATTTTATTCTCCTCTTCTTGACGCCAGGACCACCTTCTGCCTCTCAGTTTATCGATAAATTATTCTGTGTGGACACTGGATGCCGTCCGGAGGTCAATCAAAATGTGTCACGTCACTTTTTTGCTCGATATTGGTGCTCGATACTAGGTGATGTGACACGTTCTAGTTTACTTCTGGATTGGCCGTTTACGAAGGATTGTGGTCATTTATGAAGGAATGAAAAAAAAAAAAAAACTCTTGGTTTTTAGTAGAATGTCAAAAGTACAATTTTGAGTACAAATGACTTGATGTCACATATCTATCTTCTGATCTCATATTTAAATATAAGTTATGATTAGGTTCATAGCTATAAAAAGCTATATGAAATAGAAAGTATACAGTATATTTTAATAGATTCTTCCTACAAATTTATAGAAAATATGTAGCCAAGAATACGAGAAACTTTATATTCTTTTGTGGTAGAAATCTCCACTACTATATGTTGTTAATTACTTGAAATCTCGATCTCAATGAAGTTGCCCACTTGATCAGATACAATCAGCCGATTTGCTGGGTGATGTTGCCTACTTGATTATAGTAAGTGTTGGCAAGTTCTTCATAACTATGATAACTATGATGAGTTTAATGTAATTCTGACTATTTTTCGATGAATCTGATGAGTTCAATATAATCTCAATGGATTCATTATGACTCTGACAAGTTCCGCAGATAAGTTCAATATGATTCTAACTATTTTACGATGACTCTGATGAGTTCGACATAATCTCAACGGATTCATTTTGACTCTTACAAGTTTCGCATGATTTCGATAAGGTCACATCGACTCTAATAATTTTAATATTATTTTGATGTGTTCACTATGACTCTTTGTGTGCCAAGTGAGCCAAATATTATTCTGCCAAATTTACCATTTTGACCATTCTAATCTAGTTGAGTTTTCTCAACTCTTGCTAACTTTACTTGAAGCTAGTCCTCAAGATATTTTAATGCAAAAAATATTAAAATTTTCACCTTTTAATTACACTAAAAAAACCCCATAAAATTAAACAAATTCTCAAAATAAATAATGAATAATAAATGCCCTATTCATTTCCATAGCAATTAAATAAATAATAATATATATATAATATAAAATTTATCTCAACAAATTTTTTTATTCATTTTCTATTTAATCGAATATAGGATATTCTTTAAATAAATTTGTTACTAGAGGACAGAAGTATATTCCTTTGTTTGTGTGCTGTGTGGGCCCGTGGTTAATCATCTCTCCAGTTGCAGCCTCCAAATTTCTTCCTACCCCACATAATCATTTAGTTTTGACTAAACATAACTTAAATATTTTTTTATTAGCACATAATTAAAGATTATTTAGAGGCTATTTAGTTTGAAGTGGTTGTGAAGTAAATATATTCCATCAGTGTTAAAAATATTGATATTTGATTCGATGAAAATGGAATGGAGAGTAAAATAAAAGGAATGCAAAATTAAATTTTAAAGTAAAATAAACTCGTTCAATTTTGAACGAAAATTGATTTCATTGCAAGTAATCTCTTTTGCTGCTGACCACCACCACCACTGCAGACTTCTGACGACACTGGTCATCACCACCATCTAAGAATTTCATGTCATATTTATTTTATTTTAAAATAAACAAAAAATATACATATGTATTTATTTTACATTTATCTAAATAACAATAAAATATTTTTTATGATGCATTATTGTTACATTATATTCATTTTTTTTTTCAGCAATTTAAATAATCCCAAAATATTTCTGTCTATTTTTATGAATAATAATTTTATTTAAGATTATGAATTAACGAGCATGATAAATTTCTTAGAAGGAAAAACTTCTCTACGTGCTGATCGGTGAGATGGTTAGAAAAGCTACACAATGGAAGAGATGGTTATAAAAGCTACAATGGTTATAAAAGCTACAATGGAAGAGAGAGAGAGAAGATAAAAAGAAGCAAACTTTCTCTTTGTTTTGCAATGATCTCTTTCCATCTCTCTCCTCTTACCGGCAATAAATCCTCCGATCTCCGGCTCTTGAATCCTTCTGCGTTTCTCTGTACTCCATACGGGAAATCGGCGAGTGAGACGAGCGTTTTGTGCATCTCTCTTTCTAGGCAGTATGTTCTGTGTACGCGGCTCTCAGAGCTCAAGTGCAGGATGCTCTCGGCCCTAAAATCGGAAGAGCGCCGCTGAGCTCGTAACATCGCTGTATTTTACTTTTTTTGGTGATTTGACTGTTACTGTTTAAGCTAAGCGGCGGTGGAGTTGGTGGGAGAGGGGTTTAGATGAGAAGAGTTGACGGGGTGGGTGGGGTTTTCGGAAGCCCTAACCACGATGGGGATCTCAAGGAGTTTGGTGATGCAGCCCCAGGTTAGTTCGTCTCTTATGCTTGTTCTGATCTGTAATTTCTTGTTTTAGCTGCTCTGTTTCTTTGAAACTTGTTTCTGGTATGGCTTGGTCATCGAGCTGCTGTGCTGATAGTGGATACGAATTTAATGGGTTCCTTGATTAGCTGGGGAGTGCATTTGTGGCTATTGCTCTGCGGAGTTGGTAGTTATCATGAGTTTGCACTGGATGCTGTTATTTCTGCCTTTTTTTGTTTCTTATGTGATGTATTGTGGTGGGATGCCATCAGACTTGCAAAGTGCTTCTTTTTTGCTAAATTTAAATAATTTGCTGATATGCGTGCATCTGAGTTCTGACCATTTGATCTTATTATGGTGCCAAGTCAATTTTACGTCCATGTTTATTAACAGGCTCTTCTACTTTTAGTTTCCTGTAGTGTTACACAAATAGCTTAAGCATGGTTTGGAATCCAAAAAATTCTTCACGTTAATATTGGTTCTAATCTGCCAAAATTTACTGTCTAATTTTCTGCAGGTAAAGATCCTCGTTTTGATGCTTCACAATATGCATTTTTTGGCCAGGATGTTTTAGGAGAAGTTGATGATTCCGCACTAATTGGGAATCTTGCTGATGATGAATATACTTTTTCTTCTTTAGGAGATGGAGAAGAGGTAACTGTCTATCCGAGAGAAGCCACTTTTATGGCTGCTAAGTTTGATAAAATGGACTTCAATCACAATTTGATATAAATTGATTTTTTCATATTAATTTAAGTATGTTGAATATGCTTCTTCCATCACAGTCTTAGAGAAGCATTTATTTTTGGTTGTTTTCTATAGTTTCTTAATACATTTTGTGCTTTCATATTTACATCTTGTACGACCGTTGTTTTTTTATTATATAACATCTGGAAACGATTACATGATCATCTATTCCTCTTATATTCATATGTATACGTCTGATATATGTGTGTGTATATATATCGACATCAAAACTAATTCAATAAAGAAGAACCCAAGATTCATATATATATATATATAAAGAACAGTCAAATAAACATCTGATTTGAGCTTAAAGTACTTGTACATTGATGTTCTATAATATGCATATTGAAGAAATGAGAAGATTTTGAGCTCTTTGTATATTGGATCTTGAATTGCATTACTTAATGAGGCCTTGGAACATTTGAGGGTTGCTTGTGTCTTGGCTTAGTTTCAAAAGAAGTCATTTCCTAATTAGGGTGCATTTAGCTAAGTGATATAGTTGTGAGGTCTTGGCCCATTTGCATGCCATATATATTGGATTGAGTTTTTGACATGCTATCATGTATCTCATTGCACTTCTCAACCTTAGTGTGCTTGATAATTAAGGGCTATATTTGAAATTGCAAAAGCATGGTATTGAGACATCCTCTTTCCTAATCAATGAGATCTAGTAAGAATATTATCTAAGCTAATGACTATATTGACCTTTTGTAAATTTTAGTTTTCTATTACATTAAATTTTATACTAACCTTTATCTTACTTCACTGTCAATTTAATTTTTTATTGCAAATATATTTATTTTGAATCTTATAACCTACACTGTTTTATTTAAATTGCATCATTAATTAAATCTTTATTAACTCAATTAATATACGATATAATTACTTCATATGATGATGCAAGCATAAGCTCTATGCTAATTTATTGCTGGATGTTATAGGGTAGGGTTTCCAATACAATTAGAATGATATTATACACATTGATGACACAGGATAACTTGAATTTGCATATTAAAGACCACTAATTGTGCAAATTAAGAAATACAAGTCTCATGCTAATATAAGGAGATTACTTCCTCTGGAATTAGGTCACTGCATTATTACCATATTTAAAGGTGAAGAATTTCTTAAGTTATTATTCTTATTAAAAAATGATACTACATCTACACACACACAGACACACACACACATGTTTAATAAAGGAAATAACTATCTTAATTTTTTCTAAAATTAGGAAACAAAATCATAGGAAAAGATCATAATCAATCTCTCCTTTTATTCCTTAAGGTACTTTCTTAAAATAAATTATCTAACTTTGACTTTCAAATATTTACTACTCTCCCTCAAGCTAGAGAATATATATCATATAATCCAAGAGAAAATGATCAAAATGGTTTCTTAATTCTTTAGCAATGATCAAAATAATCTCCAATTATCTTGAGGGACTATTTTGGTCCCTCAACTTTTTAGATCATTTTGGTCCTATCATCCAAACTAATGGATGCTAGATTTAATGGCGTTAAAATTAGGAATATTTTAGATATTTTTAAATTAAACTATTTATCAAATATAATTTTCAAAGTAATTATAAGTTTTCAAGCGAATTACCATTCCCTCTATTTATTAGATATATTGTTCATCCCATTTGTTAGCTATAGTTGAATTTTTTCAATCAGATTTGATTAAAGATAATTTTATTAATTATTTGTTTAATAAGAAAAATTAATAGTATTTTTATTTATAATTTTAAAAATTTTAGTCATATTTTATAAATTATGCAACAACAACATCAAGCCTTTATCCTGTTATGTGGGGTCGGCTACATGAATCCTTTTTCTCCATTGTGTCTTGTTATGAGTCAAATTATCATTTTAAATCTAATAAAGAAAGGTCATTTCTAATATTTTCTAACCAAGTCTTTTTATATCTATCTATACTTTTCTTAATATTAGTCAAATCTAATAGATCTACTTTCCTAACTCGATCATTGGAGGATCGTCGTTTTATGTGACCAAAAAATTTAAGGTGACTCTCTCTAATCTTATCTTCCATTGGAGTTGCTCTAACATTTTCACGTATACGCTCATTTCATATCTTGTATCTAAGAGTAAAGTCACTCATCCACTTGAGCATCCTTATATCTGCAATACTTAACTTAATATTATGCTTCTCTTTTAATGACCAACATTCTACACCATAAATCATTGCATGTCTCACCACCATCTTATAGAATTTTCCCTTAAGTTTGAGAGGGACTTTTTTATCACACAACAAGCCCGATGCATTCCTCCACTTCAACCATCTAAGTTGAATTCTACTAATAATATTCCCATCTATTTTAACATCACTCTAAAAAATAGACCAAAGATAACTAAAACTTATACTCTTATTAATGACTTAATCGCCCAAAGTCATAATCCTCCAATTAGATCTATTATTACTAAAATTACACCTCATATATTCAGTTTTAAATCTATTCAAATGAAAGCCTTTAGACTCTAAGGTTGACCTCCATAATTCAAGTTTTCCTTCAACTCCCTCTATAGTCTTATCAACAAGAAAAATATCATCAGCAAAAAACATACATCAGGATACAACCTCTTACAAATATCTAGTGAGAACAACCATGACTAAAGCAAAAAGATATGGGCTTAAGGCTGATCCTTGATGTAAACCAACTAAAATAGGAAAATACTTGGTCAAACCACCTTGTATTTGAACACAAGTAGCAGTTCGTGCAGACATATCCTTAATGACTTGAATATAAGCATTATTAACCCCTTTTTTTTCTAGAACTCTCCATGGCACTTTTCTTGGAACTTTATCATATGCTTTCTCTAAATCAATAAATTTCATATGTAGATCCTCCTTATTCTCTTTATACTTCTTCATAAAATCTTTATTTTCATTTAGGATGCTAAGATCATTAAAATCAATCGCATTCTCGCAATCTTCATTGAAAAATTTAGCAAAATATCTCATCCACCTTTGTTGAATATCATGTTCTAATAAAAACTCTTTTTTATCATCATTCTTAATATACTTCACTTGAACTAAATCTTTACTACTCAAATCTTTTTGTTTGAGTAACTTATACATATATTTTTGCCCTCCTTAGTATATAATCTATTATATGAATCATTAAAAGCTAAAATTTTTGCATCGTATATTGCTTTCTTAGATTCCTTATGGACCTCTTTTTATCTTCATGAATTTTTAGAATTTTTACATCTAAACTAATTTTTATAACAAATCTTTTTATTTTTTATCTTTTCTTACATATTTTGATTCCAACACCAACTATTTTTACTATTATGAGATTTTCTTTTTGATACTCCAAGGACATCTTTTGCAACATTCTTAATATCACTAGCTATTTTTTCCCACATAACATTAGCTTCCTCATGCACAAAAAAATCTTAAGATGTAGAATATTGCTCTAAAAAAATATTTTTAAATACCCCCATCTAATTTTAGAACAACATTTTACTTTATTTTTTTTATTTTCTGCCCATTCATCTTAAAGTCCAAAACTAATAAGAGATGTTGGATACATAAGCTTTCACACGAAATAACTTTACAATCTTTACAATCTAAAAGTTCTATTTTTTTTATAAGAAAATAATTAATTTGAGTTTTACTATATCCACTCTTATAAGTGATGAGATGTTCATCTATTTTTTTAAATAAGATATTAGCAATTACAAAATTATAAGGTAAAGAAAAATCTAATATGATTTTATCACCTTTATTAGGTGCTCCAAACCCATAGCCATCATGAATGGTAGGTTTGTGACTAAAATGAAATTTTAACAATATTTTTATGAAAACTATAATTTAAAGTTATGATCGATGTAGGATCTAGGCAGGGATTCGACGCCCTTGCGGGATCAATGTTTGGATTGGACTACGGTGCGGGATTGACGCTAGGGTATAAATGCGCTGCGGGATCGACACTGTGGTTCGACTGCACTGCAATATTAATGCTGGGATTTGACGCTGAGGTTGGAATCTGGTGATTGAACCTGAGGGTTCAATTCGCTGGAGAGTTCAAAGCTTCGTTGCTGGGTTTTCGATGCAAGGCAGCTTTGTTCATAGTTCTTTGTTTTTTATTTTGCTTAATTTTGTTATTCCTATTATAGCCTTCTGCCATCTCCCCACCATTCGGCATGATATTATTTTTTCCATTAATTATAACATTGGGATCAAAATGATCACATTTTAAAGAGTTAAGTGATTAAAATAGTCCCTTAATATAATAAGGGATCATTTTAGTCCTTAAAAAGTTAAGCGATGATTTTGGTCCTTTTCTTTATAATCCAAGTTTGCAAATTAAGTCTTCAAAGTTAGGTCTAGGTAGAGTTTTGATTATGATGTCTGCAGTTTGTTGTTTTGTAGGGATTTATTCTAATTTAACAGACTCTCTAGTCACCTTCTCTGTGATGAAGTGTCTATCAATTTTAATGTGCTTAGTTTTGTCATGGTGCATTAGATTGTTAGCTATGTTGATAGTTGCCTGATTATCACACATCATTGTAATAAGAAATGAACTCATTTTTCATACTTCACTAAGAATCCTTTTTATTCAAATCCCTTCACAAATTCTATGTGCCAGTGCTCTATACTTGGCTTTTGCACTATTTGTTGCTACCACTGATTGCTTCTTACTCAATGTAACAAAATTATCCTAGAAAAAAGAGTAGTACCCAGAAATTCACTGTTTGTCAATGATATTTCCTATCCAATTTGCATATGAATACACTTCAGTGTCACGATTCTTCAGTGTCACGATTCTCTATTTTTCTGAAGAATAGGACTTTTCTGGGTGTCATCTTCAAGTATCTAAGAATCCTGTAGACTGCTTAGATGCATTCCTTTGTAGGATTGTGCATGAATTGACTTAACAA